ATCCGCTGTTCAAAACAGGCATTACAGAAGCTTCAAATTCTGAAATATTCTGTGAGGTTTCCGCTAAAACTTCAACTTCATTTTCCACACACCTTTGAGGCTTTTTATGTCGATTGCGAATGTCGTTAAATTACCTCTTCTAATAATTCCCCGTTTCGCTCTCTCTTTCGAACATCCGAAATCTATAATCAATAATGGTTTATGAACATTTGTAAGTAACCCCGTTAAAATAAATGGCAGGGTGTAAGATTGGGTGATCTTGGTGGCCATATGAATAGGGTTGAGTCATCGTCATCTGCCTGTCTAACCTAGCGTTGTGGAAGCTCCTTGTTTAAATTACTACAAACTACTAAAGCTCTGTCTTGTTGAAACACAAAATTCTTGCTGTTCTCTGAGCAATTGTAAAATAATCATACTTGCAACATGTCCAGTTAATTACTGTTTTTTACTATTTTCTCAGCGATAAAGATGGTTAATAAACTATATGGTACAAAATGTGAGTTTGCAAATGTAGCTTTTAAATATAAGTATATTAAAATGCAGTCATTTAAAAAAATGCATAATTATTAACATTTATTAATTAATTTTAATAATAATAACAGTAATATAAATTATTAATTAATTATCTTAGATATTTTTCAATTCCTTCTATCAGCTCACACTCTCCCTATATATATATCTTGTTCACATTTTCAATCATTCATAACATACTTTTTATTCATACACTCAAGTTCAAATGCATTTTTTTAAACTTGTAGTGGATGACACTGGATGTTAATATAGTTTTTGCAAATATTAATTCAGTAATTAAATTTAATGAATTCATTTTGTTTTTTTTTTAGATTTAAGTTGCATGCATCTACCCGTAGATGACGCCAGATAAACTTAAAAAAATGAGTGAAAATTATTTATAAAGGACTTAAGACTTAAAAAAAAAAGACTTAAAGGAAAGGACTTAAGAAAATTATTTATAAAGGACTTTACTGCAATATAGTGGAAAAAAAGTAGGAATTGACTTAAAATTTTTTTTTTATATTACTTGTTTAATATAAGGAAAATTCTAATCCGCAGTTCAAAACATGCATTAGAGAAGCTTCAAATTCTGAAATATTCTGTGAGGTTTCCGCTAAAATTTCAACTCCATTTTCCACACGCCTTTGAGGCTTTTATGTTCGATTGCGAATGTCGTTAAATTACCTCTTCTAATAATTTTCCGTTTCTCTTTCTCTCTCTCTCTTTCGAACATCTGAAATCTATAATCGACTTTCGAAATGCGACGCGTTCGAAAATCTGAGCAGCATCATCACCTGTTATGTCTCACTTAACTCCCAACAGCCGTTACTTGATATCAATTTTAAGTAAACGAGCGTTCCCATGCAACGAGGAGCCGCATTTGGTAACCATGGCAACCTCGTGATGATCCGATTGGATTTACGCAAATTTACGTCACTGGCTCAGCGAATCCTCCGGAGCGGAAAGAATTTTATTCTTACAAACGATTCAGCAATTTTGCGCAAAAGTATTTGGACTTTTGTGCATGGCAACGACTCCGATTCCCTTTGTGTGGGGAAAATAATTGCGTTCCGAGGGAAAAAAAGGAAATTAAATCAAACTCGATTTTGTTGTTAGTGTGCCGAGTTTTGCAGTGTAAACAACATTTCAGGCTTTTTTTTTTACGTTTGTTTAAGAAATGGGCCGTAATTCTTTTTTTTTTTTATTTTAAAGAGAAAGTCTGCAGTATAGATATGTAATTGAAAATGTGCTTATTATATTTTTGATATGGTTTAAATTTAATTTTAAATGTTAAATAATTATCATGTTAAAATTTTTGGGATTTTATTTTTTTTTTAGTTTTTCTTTAACACTTTGCATTTTAATACTACAGTTTCGATTAAATTAACTTCTTTTGATTCTCTAATTATTATTCATTGCAAAAAGAAGACTCTGGCTCTCGGTGCCACAGGTTTCGAGTTCGAGACCTGGTGGTGCAATGGATGTTTGTAGTGGTTCGGAATCATCTTTAAGCCGTAGGTCTCTGTCTAACATGATCGTAGAGAGTTGGGCGTAGGACTAACAACTCTACACCATAAAAGAAAATCATCTCCTGTTCTATCCATCTAGCAGTCATACGGCCTTATCACACCATGGGGGCTGTTGCGCCACTGATGATGATGATAAAAAGAAGTAAAACAGTGGCTAACACATTGAATAGGGAAAATAACAATTTTTCGTGTAATAAAAGAATTTTTTTTTTTGAATTATTTAAAAGTTTATTTTTTCGTTATTTTGACAGATTAAAAGTTTATTTTGATTGTGACACATTTATAAAATGAAGTAATTTGTAAACCGTTTGGTTTGGTATATTAACTGTATTATTTTTAAAAAATACTGTGTTGAAACTGCCATAATATAAGGACAAAAAACGGAACGCTGTTTACACAGCGGCAAATACAATGTACCTACGAAACTGAAAAATGAATAAACTTTCCTCGTGCACGGAAAGAACGAGAGCAGGATAAATTCATAAGCTGAAAAGTTTCTGTACTGTGTTAGATTAAGTGAGAGAATGATGAGAATTTCCAAAATGAAACCGGGGGAATATTCATTGTAAATTACAGGATCATAAGACATATAAAAGGTAATCTCTCTGTAAAATGGTCAACAAACTTTGCAAGTATATAGGTTATGGCGAATATTATGTGCCTAAACATTACAAGCAAGAACATAGAATTAAAAAATAAATATAAATTACTATATTTGAACGAAGTATGTCTGGTTATGATTAATATATGCAATCATTTAAGACCAAGCCCTAATTTACACTGATTTTGCAATACTAGTTTAACGGTCTCTAACTCTTAATGAGATAGAAAAAAAAAGATGTTAAAAGAAGTTAATTCAATTCTATTAAAATTAATTTTTTTAAAACTATAAATTTTTGGGAGATTTGGGGAATGTTATATAAATAATAATATAGTAATTATTATATAAAAATAAATGCAGCTTTATTAAAAAAAGTATTGAAAAATAAATGCAGTATTATTCAAAGAAGTACATCACGGCGAGAATTTATCCAAAGAAAAATTACATTAGAATTTTACGCGGCATTTTAATAATGCAGGACTACTCATGTATCTATATTCTGGATAGCTGAGTTTCCCGATCATCTATGCTATTGAAAAATTTAAAAATGTCTTTTAAAGAAGGAATAAAAGTTGTTTTCTGGAATTTCAGAATTTCTGATCAACCAATGGACTTTAGTAACTCGATATAAAGCGATGTTTTGTAGAGCTTCAAGAATTTTGATATTAGAATCAACTGCATAAGGCCAAACAGGATTGGCATAAATAATAATAGGTCGAAGGATATTGATGAACAATAGATTTTTTTTTTATTTTGCGTTTACCTATTAATTATTTGGAAAAGTTTACGGCTAGACGTATATGAAATTTAAGTCTAATGTGTTTCAAGTGTTTTTTTTATGTTTGACATTTCAAGATAATTCAAAGCTTTATTTGCTTTTTTTTTTAAAGTTTATAAGAATTTTAAGAATTTTTAATTATGAATAATTAATAAATTATAAGATTTTTTTAAAAGTTTATTTGACATTCCAAGACTATCCTTCAAAGTCGTTAATTTTAACATTGGAATTTTTAATTTTATTTCCGCCCTAATTGTGGCTCAGTGGCAACATGCGAATTTGTGGTGGACACCGTTTCAAAAACGGACACTTAATGGCGTTTGGGATGTTCAGCGTCTTGCCTCGTGAGTCGAACTATTTGGTGGGAGTTTTCCGGGTTTTCTCCCATACAATACGCAAATGCGGGGTAGTCCCCCAAAAGTCCTCCCGGAAGACACTGCCCTCCTTCTTCAGCGACACGGAGCCAAGTCAGACTTCTACCTACGAGTGCTCCATCACAATAGAAGCTCCCCTTTCCCTCCTTCCATGAGACCACAAGGGTTCTTGGACATGCTCTAGATATTGCTGTCTACCAAGTGGGTTAAGACAAAACAATTTTGTTTCCTTTAGAAAATAGAACTGCTTCAGCTTCAAGCTTCACAAAAAATATATGTTGTTCTTTAAAAGGGAGTTATTTTTATTGCGTTAGTACAAATAACGTTCATATGTAGATGTTGTGCAGAAAATCTTCGGGTTAAGTGCTATTTTATTCTGCTGTCCAGTGCAAGTCCAAAAAAAAAAAAAAATGCTATATAGATCTTTTTATTCTTTTATAATGGTCTCTTTAGAGTATTTTCCTATAAATTATTTTCAGCAAAGAACAGAAAAATGCTAGTAGTATAATCTAGCGGATAAAAAACTCGATTATCTACTTTCTGTAGTGAATTTTTATGAGTAAAATTTTTTAATCATCTCATTGTTTCTTGTTGATTTAAATATTAAAATAGAAGCTTTTAACTGTTCACAAAAGAAATTGGTTTGAAAGCATTAAATATAGAACAAATAGAAGAATTCGTTTTGAGTTTAGTTTCGTGCATTGAATTATTTATTAGTCCATTACATCGAAGCTTAGGAATTAGGCGTTTCGATTTAGAAAAAAAAAAGCTGAAAATCTAGTCGAATAAATTATGAAACAATACTTAAATTAAAGAGCTCAAACGATTTATCTTAAATTATTATTCATAACAGAGGCTTCAGTTTTATATTTTAGTTACTTTTCAACTTGAAAAGTGTTTTAATAATTGATATTTATTTTAAAATGTTGTTGTTGTTGTTTCTTATCCCACTTGGCTGGCCAAGCCCACGAGCCCATACGTTGAAGGGGAAGGAAGCAGCTTCTGTTGTGATGGAGCACCCGTAGGTAGAAGCCTGACTTTGGCTCCGTGACGCTCTTACAGTCATAGGAGACCGGGACCTACGGCTTAAAGTGGATTCCGAACCACTACAAACACCATGGCACCGCCGGGATTCGAACCCGAAACCTGTGGCACCGAGGCACCAGAGCGCTAGACACTCGGCCATTCAGGTCCCAAATTTTCCAACGGCACGTGGTGTTCCCAGGTGGTCACCCACCCAAGTACTGACCGCGCCCAATGATGCTTGACTACGGTGATCTAACGAGAACCGTAAAATGTTGTATATTCTTATAACAGAACCTGAATGGCCGAGTGGATAGGCTCTGGCGCTCTGTATTGCAGGTTTCGGGTTCGAGTTTCGTTGATGACACGGATGTTCGTGGTGGTTCGGAATCCCCTTGAAACCGTAGGCGCTTATCTAACAGGAGCGTTGCGGGTGTAGTGTTACTCCGCGTCCGTAGTTAATCTTCAAGCTACAAGCACCTCCTGAGTAGCGGCTAAGTGAGTAACGTCGGTGCAGCACTTGCCTTAATGAATCACAGAGAACTGTCTATGTGTTTGCCAGCTGCATTAGAAAAAAATCTATGTTACTCCTAATAATAAGAAAGTTAAAGTGCAGTCAAAAGCAAATGAATTCAAATCAAGCAATTAGTAAATTTTACAAGAAATTTCTTAACAGCATTTGTGAATGTAAAATTTATAATGTTTGTCGTTCTAGGGTCATTGTTTTTTTGTACACTTCCTGCTAATTAGAGAAAGACCTACAGTTCAACGTGAATTCCAAACCACGAACAGACCACCAGGATTTGAACCTGAAATCTGTGATACTAAATGGCAGAGCGCTAGCCCATTGACCGTCAGGCCACTCCGCTTATTAGAGGAGAGAAATGTCATTTTGAAGAGGTTTTATAGCAAATATAATGTTAACTTTTAATAATTAAAATTTTAAAGTGTATAAAGTCAAAATAAACATTCGATTTAAAAAACCGAATAACTGTCTAATATTTTTCTTTCAAAACAGAATTCTAGCAAGTAGTCGATTCGTCCGTTTCAGTATTTTAAGCAGGATGTTCACTTTTCCACACAATCGGTGGTCGGAGTGTAAATAATATTACAAATAACTAACGATCACAATTTGATAAATTCGATAAAAATGTAGTTGTGAAATGGTGCTATTAATAAATTTTTTCTGAGCATGAACGCCGTAGTTCAAGTTGGGCGTTCAAGCCCAGAAAAGAAGTTCGTGTTGGTTTTCGAATTCAATGAACCGGTTTCGAAAACCCGCTACTCCGAAAGATCCTTATCTTTTCAGGGAATAGACACGATAAAACCATTGACCGGAAATTATTTGCTTTGGACACGAGCAAGAGGGTTCGAACCTCGGCTACCATACCTGAGAATATTAGTTTAATTATAATTTTCATAAAATTTCGTTTTTTTTAAACTAAAATAATAATTATTAATAATAACAGTTTGAAATTTGAAAAAAAATACTGCATGCTATTATTTATTAATACTTGAGCTTATCTAAAAAGAAATTCGCTATCGTTGAAAAAACGTTAAATGCGGAAGATAATAGAGAGTTTTTGCATACCGTACGTTAGTTACCGTAGGACGTCCGTTAGCTTTTTCTCCCTAGCGCGCATGCTCACAGGAAACATAATTTCTTATGAGCATGCGCGCTAGGGAGAAAAGGCTAACGGAGGTCCTACGGTAACTACCGTACGGTATGCAAAAACTCTCTATTGAGTGATAAGGTTAACGTTAGCATTCAGGTTAATACTGTTTAAAGTGAAAATGTTATGATTAACATTAAAAACGTTAATAGTTTAAAATGATAACGTTGATAGCATCATCATCATCAGTGGCGCAACAACCTCATGGAGAGCCAAAGCCTACTGGCAGATTTCGAGACAGTAGGTGTTCTCTTTTTACGGGGTAGGGTTGTCAGCCCTACGCCCAACGCTCTCACAGTCATAATAGACTGGACCGATTTAAAATGGATTCCGAACCACTACAAACATCCACGGCACCAACGTTGATAACGCTATAATTAATGTTGAAAACAATGTTCAAAATGATAATGTTGATAAAGTTGATAATGATTAATGTTAAAAACGTTACATTCAAAATGATAATGTTATTAACGTAATGATAAAGTTAACGTTAATTTAATATGGTAATGATAATTTTATAAGTTAAATCTTTTTAAAATTATTAAAATTATTTGGAGCTGGTAAAAGAATGACACAATAAGCAAAAAAAAAAAAAAAAAAAATTAAATACACAAACGCAAAATGAGGAAAATGTTAAATACGGAAAAAGTTTAATCGTAGTTTTTTTCTTTTTATATATTTCAAATTACTTCTAAAAAAAATCTATTTAAATATCAACCCGGTTTTTAATTTAAACTGGTTCTTGCATTGTGAAAATACTACGTAACTGAATTTTACCTGTTTGACATCTTTCAGGATTAATGAACTCGAAAAGAAAAGAATGTAGAGTCTTTTCGAGGAAGAGAGCTATCCGTGGACAGTGATAGATCTGTATAACTGTCATGGAGTTGCTCTCTTCATTGAAAGTCTCGCTTCAACTCGATCTACACTTCAACTCGATCTACACTTCAAAGCGATCTACACTTCAGCTGGGAAGACAGAGGAGGAATTGCAAAAAGATATCCATCAGTTCGTATATTTTTGGTTTACTTTCCATGAAACGCATTTCTTTTTTTCAATTCCTACTATTAGTTCACACACTCGCTATATATATCTTGTTTGAATTTTCATTCGTTCATAAAATACTTTTTATTCATCCACTCAAGTTCAAATACATTTTTTTAACTTGTAGTGGACGACACTGGATGTTAATACAGTCTTTTCAAATATTAATTAATTCATTAAATTTAATTAATTAATTAAATTTTTTTTTAGATTTAAGTTTCATGTATCTACCGATAGATGGGGCCAGATGTAAAAGGAAAATTTCAACTTTAATTGTAAGGGACTATTCTGCAATAGAGTGAAAAAAAAAAAGTAGGAATTGCCTTTAAATTTTTTTTTTTTTATATTACTTGTTCAGATGATATTTAAAAATAAATATCAAATGATTGTTTATTATTATTGCTTCAACTAAAAAAGTTAACGAAATAGTTAATTTATTTTTTCTCAATAAAAAAGAAGGAATGATTATTTTATGATTTTTAGTTAAAAAATAAGACTATGAATTAATATTTTTTTAACTGTTTTTAAATTAAGGAATTAATCCGTGACTTATTTTTCTTGTTTATTATTTCTCAACGCAGAAATATGTATTTATTTGTTTATTGAAAATGAAAAATAAACTAATGACTCATTATTTCAACAATGATTTTAAACTAACAAACTTATCAATGGTTTATTTATTTATTTGTCTTTTTAATGGTAAATTAATTTATTTTTATTTTTAATGTGATACATTCAGCAGGTAAATTATATTGTGTAATTAAAAAATCGGGATCTGATGGCCGAGGGACTTGCACTGATGCTCGGTCCCACAGGTGCAAGTCTCGGCGGAGCATTGGATGTTTGCAGTGGTTCGGAATCCACTTTAAGCCGTAGATCTTGGTCTCATATGACTGTACAGCATCAAGCTGAGAACCTTAGCCTGCAAAAAGGAAACATCTCCTGTTTCGGAATTGCCTGTATGCAGAAGGCTTTGGCCCACACATGAGGCTGTTGCGCCATCGAAGCAGTATTAAAAAATTTCCTAAAAATTGTTTTATTTATTTATTTTAAAGACAATCCTGAAGTAAGATTTTCATAAGTGATAGAACAGAAGTTGCATAAGAAAGATTTAAAATTATAGATTATTTCAAAGCAAATCATTATTTTTCTAAAAAAAATCTCTCAAGAAACAATATTTGTCAGACCAATAAGGAATTATTCAGAAAATATTAAATTCCTATTACATCATATGACTTACAGTCTAAATTCATTTTAGATTATTATGGATTTTAAAATTTATTCTGAAGATGAAAGGTGGAACTAGATATCTAGTACGATTTTAAGTTACGATATTTGTAAAAACATCAAAACGTCTAAAGAAATTTTGTTCTTTCTAAAACGAAACATAAGCAATCAACAATATTCGTAAAATTATAAGAATATTTTAATTTCATCCAAAAACGAAAAATAATATAGGTAGTTTTTTGACACAATTCCTAATTTTGATTCAATAATTTTAATATGAAAATTATATCACGCATAATTTTATGCCCTTTTCTTGTGTATTATTTCAACATGAAGAATCAGAATTTATTCACCAAACAAATTATTAATTTAATGAATCACATGTCAAAATCATAAGTATAACAAATTAAAGTTTATATGTGCAATTTATCTATTCAAATTTGCATTCTAATTTCATATTCACGTAAACAATTCTTATGTATATCTTAATCGATATAATTTTCTTGCTCTTAGATATACAGATATAAATATTCAAAATATCACTTTCAAAATTACATTTCAAATTCGTTGGGTTTAAATAAATTAGTCGCAACGACATTAAATTATTTCGACAATTACTGATTATATCGTCCATTTTCCCACAGTATAAATTAGCAAATTAAGTATAAACCGAAGTAAGATATTCGATATGAATTATTTTTAAAAACGTTAAAACTAAAATGCATTATAACGATAAATAATAAGGAATATACATTTTAAGATCGTATATTGTACAAAATAAATTCCTTAAAAAGACTTTCTAAAAAATAGTGATATAATTCCTTGTTGTTATTGACTAATACTCAGTGTCCTGCAGTGCGGGACGGACATCCTACGAGTAGTCTACTCATGGATGGGGGGAAAGAGGACAGCTTCTGTTGTGATGGAGCACCCGTAGGTAGAAGTCTGACTTGGCTCCGTGTCGCTAAAGCGGGGAAGAAGTGAGGGAACTACCTCGCATTTGTGTATCGAATAGTAGATAACCCAGTAAACTCCCACCGGGTAATCTGACTCACGAGGCAAGATGCTGAAAAATCGCAAAACGCCATAGAGTCTTCTCGTATTTTAAAATAGTGTCAACAACAAAGCTGCCAGTGGATAAAATTTATTATGAAATGAACGTTTATGAATAAATGTATTTTTAATATTATTAAAGAAATAAGCTTAAGTAAAGTTTTCATATAATAAAGTTTAAAAAACAAATAAAGATATCATAAAATAAATTTCTAAAAAAATATATCAAACTATTTAAAAATCTATAAACGATATCTGTATCTATATCTAA